GTAAAAAAAAGACTCTATTCTCCTTGTAAGAATATTATAAAATTTTATCAAAGAAAAAGTTGGTTCGATGTATTCGACTTTATGTAGCAGGCAAACCGAACTTTTGTTTTAACATAATATTTTTTATTAAAATGCTAAAACTTACAAGGACTCAGAACGTATTTTAAATAAATTTGATGCTTATGACGAACTTATGGCAGATTTGTGAATATATAAACTTGTGACACACTTGGAATAGGATTTACTTGAGTACGGTATGTATTTTTCTGTGTGCACGCAAGAAGCATGGAGGTCGTTAATTCCATTGTCGCAAATGCAGAAAGTTGTATTTGATGTAGAGCAAAGCGAATTTACGTGCTACAGATTTTGCAGTAAAATTTTGCCTCTAGTGGTCAAAATCAGGACGATATGAGACGAAACAGTGAGACGGTAGCGCTTACATTGAAAATCAGCGAATATTCACTGATATTGTCGGTGAAATATACCTTTTGTCGATTCAATCAAAAACAATTTTACTGATTCAGTCTAAGGAGGACTGTGTCCTTCCTATCTGAGGCAAATATTCATTAAAACGAAGAAGAAAGTGTATTCGTGCAAGTGCCGATACTACGACGAGATTTCCGTGTATCACTAAATACATGAATAAATAAATCTTCCAAAAGGACGAACCGACGTCTCTCAGCTATGCCTGGAAATATCTGGCAGAGTATTTTGGCAGAGATCATTCTGCATTTTGAGCGGAATTGGGGAGTCTCGCATTTCTCTCATTTCCTCTTGTGAAGAAGATAAACAGGAGAAGAGGCGAAGAGAGTGGAAGAAGAAGGAGGACGACCAAAAGATCCCCATCTTCGAGAGCAAGCGGACCAACCAATACACACGCGCGACTATAAAGCACGAATTTCGCGTCGTAAAACGGCAAATTGAGTCACAGAGGAGCGGATTCCGTGGCGATTGCGTCGCGCAGGAATCGGATCTCAACGAGGCGAGAGCGCGGCGTTCCCGTCATCATCGACTTTCCTCCGCCGTCGTCATTCGCCCTCGGCTAGAGTCGAGGCTGCGGCGCGGGACGCGCTCGCGATCGTCCGGCGTTGTGTTTCTCGGTCACAAAGAGCACGATCACGAGAGTCCTCGGCCGACGACGCTCACCTTGACCAGCGAGTCTCGATCGGTGGATCGGGCCGGTGCGTCGGCTGCGCGCGCGCGAGCCTCGGCGCGGCGTGACGAGTGACCGATTCGAAGGCACGCCGCGCTGTCAATTTGGAGGAGAACCCCGATTCGCAATCGGTATTCTCAAAAATTCGTCGTTTCGGGAGCGTCGTGTGCGCGGTCGATGCTACCACGATCTACGTATCGTAAGATTCCTCATGTCAGGCAAGGTAGATTCGCCGAATCTACTGTCCTTTCTTTCTTTCTGATCGGGTGTTAACTTGAGCGGTTGTAACTTGAATTTGAACGCGGAGGTGAGACTTCAATAACAACTTTTTATCACACAATAGATGTCTATTTGGTGAACATTAAACTTTACTATGCGACATAAACGATTGTATAAAGATGATGCGATCTCGGTACAATTAACACAATGTGCCCAAAAATTTCTCTCTCTCTTTCTCTCTTTCTTTCTCTCTCTCTCTTTCTCTCTCGCCAACTTAATTATTAGGCTTACGAAAGTACACTGATTCCTGCCTTTACCCCTGTTTTCCCAGCTCTCGTGTTTTGATTCTATCTCTCTCACTTTCTCGTTTCCTTCTCTTTTATCTATTTTCTTCCTCGTTCTATTCTGCCCTCTAAATTTTTCCACCTATTCTCCTTTACTAACTTCTTTCTCATCTATCTACTGCGCTCTCTCTCTCTCTTTTTTTTCTCCAAGAGAATATTCTCAACGCTTTCTCTTTACATTCTCTCTATCTCTATCTAGTATCGCGCCTTTTAATGCTTCCAAAATATCCACTACTTTAAATATGTCTCCAATGATCCACCTTTAAGATCTAGATATCTAATAAATGATGATGCGATCTCGATACAATTAACTGCACAATGTGCAAAATCTCTCTTTCTCTCTCTCTCTCTTTCTCGCCAACATAATTATTAAGTTTACGAAAAATCATACGAAAATTTGCAGTATATTCTACAAGGACGAGCTGATTCCGTTCGGACGGAATACAGATGATTCTACATTCGAACGAGATTGCGGAGTTTCGTGTTCTTCTCGGTTGTTCTTGCGATTTCAGGGGTTATATATATATTTTTTTTTATGGGACATATATATATATATATATATATATATATATATATATAAATATCAAGATGTAACTTGCGCACGAAACGTTTCTGCGAGGCGACGGGAAAAATAGGTAATAAAACGTTTTGCGTTCGTGCAATCTTTTAAGCGATGAGGTTTCTTTAAAAAGTTGTTTGATTCGAGAGTTGGTTTCAAAGATATTTGAAACTCTGAATGTGAAACAGTAAAGGAAGAAGGAGGAAGAGACGAAAATTCGTATCGAGATCTCACTAAGGAGCAGCTGACTACGATCGAGTCGACGGATTTGTGGATAAAGAAAAATGCGGGAAGTTCAGGCACGACTTTAGCTGTTACTTGAGATCGCTGAATTATGCTGTCACGAATCAAAATGGGCGACGCGACGACGACGACGATTGAATTATTCCCCTGCGAATTAATCCCAATGCAGAAGAAGAAACAAAAGCGTCTACAGTCGCGAAGAGGTTGCAAGAGATCAGAGATAATGTGACCGACGCACGAGGCAGATCCGAAAATTCACTATTCTTATCGCGCGTTTCGTCACTTGGTGCTTTTGATAATTCGAGGACCGATTAGATGACCCAACGACGCAGCAGATATTACATGATTATGTTTTACGAATTGCCACGCAACTCTTTCTCTCTCTCTCTCTCTCTCTCTCTTCCTTTCGTTTCTTTCTGTCGTTCTCTCCTTCTTTTTCCAGCTCGTCGCTTGTCATCCCAGAGAAATGCAAGAGAGAGAGAAAGAGAGAGACGCGTTCTCTTTCTCTCCATGTGCGCCGACACATTTCGAGAAGAATTAACAAACCGTCCGCCGCGAGCACTCCGACCGACGTTGCGTACCTAAACAGTAAGTCACATTGCCAGCAACACTCCGTTTCATGTTCCTTTTTCGGATCACACACGGGATATTCTCGTCGGCGTGTAACTTCTCGGTCCAGGACGGTATGAAATTAAATTCTTCTTCTCTTATACGCGCTCCATAATAGAGAGATTTAATCGTTTCGAGATCCAATTTTACGATTAGCTCCTATAAGCACGGCGATTACTGTCGTAGCGGTGGAGCTACTTAATTACTAGTCTCGCGCTTATCTTGAATTAGTTTCCGATTTTTGCCGTTCCACTCGCTCACTCGCTCGCTCGCGCGCACCGCAATAGCTTCGGAGAGAATCACAGGCGACTGGTTCTTACCGCGTCCTCGCTTATCGTTGTGTCTAATTCATACTTTTGCTATATTATTTTGCGTTCTCCGTAAAAGGGGGATCTCTAATAAATATATAAGATACTTCTTCTTTCTCTCTCTCTCTCTCCTCTCTTTCTCTTTCACCGTCTCTCCCTCCTCGCGCACGCTACTCTCGCTGTTTTCGCCTCGTGCAATCGCGCGGACACGCGACTCTTCTCTCTCTCTCTCTCTCTCTCCCCCTCTCTCTCTCTCTCTCTCTCTCTCTCTCTCTTTCTCTCTGTCTGTCTGTCTGTCTCTCGTTTCGCGAGGAGTTTCGTATAGGTGCACCACACGGTGACCGACGGCCAGCAACGTTCTCCGTTTACCCTTGATACCTCGCTCAACCCCCACACCTCGGATCCTCCGTCTCTCTATCCGTATCTCTTTCTTTCTCTCTCTTTCTCTCTCCTTTTCGGTTGCCCAACGTTAAACACTGTCCTCGCCAATCAAGCCTCGTCGAGCTCGACCGCAGACACACGCGAGTTTCGTACGGCACACGTGTCTAGCCAGCGGCGCGTTGTTAATCGCAGTCGGAAGAGCACTTCTGCCAGTAGTCGCTGGCGCGTTATAGTTCGCCCCGTGCGTCTCGGTATGCATACGTGAACACGCGTGCACGTCGAGGGGGGAGGGGACAGAGGAGGGAACGGGGGATCAGGACGGAGAGAGGAAAAAAGAGGAAAAGAGAGAGAGAGAGGAAGAAAGAGGAAGAAAGAGAAAGAGTACTCGGATACGACGAGAGCAGGGATCGGAACCAGTATAATTTCGACGAGTTGAATTCTCCGCACTACAGGCACAGCGAAGCGTGGCTTTACCGTGTCACGTGTCCGCCAATTGTCACGAATGAGTCTCGGACGACGAGGAGATTTGTTATCGCGCGCCTCCTCAGCACCGTCCAGACGCGAGAGATCATCGATATTATACCGGTTTTTTTAAGTAAGCTTCGATTCTACGGCGAGAGATAGCGAGTGGCGTGCCTGCGTCTGTGTATGTGGCGAGCGAGCGAGCGAGCGCCGGGGGGGGGAAAACGTGAAGGGGTGGAGAGCGGGAAAATTCGAAACCGCGCGTACTCGGCACGCGGCGCGCGCGATGACGCCGCGTTTTGGCAAAACGTGGACACGACGCACAGGTGGCTGGTTACCCGGCGTCTGCCGCAGCCTACGGGGGATAAAGTTCGCGGGAGGACAAGACACAGGACAGGAGGCCGGGGGAGGAAACGGCAGAGGGAGCGCGATTAGACAGTACGAAAGCGAGGCGCGTGTTATCCGCGCTCGCCGACGAATCTGCCGCCTCCGCCGCCGCCGCCGCCGCCGCCGTCGTCGTCGTCGTCGTCGTCGTCGTCGTCGTCGTCGTCGTCGTAAGTTGTCGTCATCGTCGTTGTCGTCGCCGCCGCCGCCGCTGTCGCGGATGCGTGCCGCGTGCGCTTTCGGGGATGCGTGTGTCGTACGCGCGTACGTATGCAGCGCGCGCGCACATGTGTGTGTGTAGCGCGTGTACATGTTACATGTATGCATCTGGTACTCACCGGAGTTGTAATATTCCTTAAAGTAGCGCGTCGCCGCGCGCTGGACGATCGAGTAATACAAGTTCACGTACGACGTCGACTGGTTCTGCGCCGAGAGCGCCATTTACACTGTATTATCTCCGCGCGCGGGTCACCGTGTATGCATATAAATATATCGTACGTGTGGATTTCACGCGCGCGTACGCGGACACGGCGCGCGTGTGGTGTATAGTAGATATAGTAAGCGCGGCACGGCAACGTGCGAGCGCGCGGCGCCCGTCTCTCGTCGGCTTCTTCCTCCACTTCCTACGTCTACCGCGCGGCGACGATGCGTCCTCCGCTTCTTCCTCCTGCTTCACCTCCTCCTCCTCCTCCTCCTCCTCTTCTTCCTCCTGCTTCTCTTCCTCTTCTTCTTCTTCTTCCTCTTCCTCCTCTTCTTCGTCCTCTTCTTCGTCCTCCTGCTGCCGTTGCTGCTGCTGCTCTTGTTCCTCCTCCTCCACCTCCACCTCCTCCACGTCGGCCTCCTCCTCTAGGTCCGCGGCCGTGAAACTTTTCTTATCGTTCGCGCGCCGTCCCTCGTGCGTTCCCGTACGGCCTTCAGGCAGCAGCGAGACGGTCTCGCATGCCGGAAAGCGCCCCGCGACTTTAATCCTCGCCACACTCGCTTTCGGGTTACCCGCGCCGGTAGACACAATCTCGGTAGACTCGGCCTGAGCCCCCCCGAGTAACTCGCCAAGACCGAGACACTGGCGAGCGCTGCAGCGTTGCCACACTTCCGTCGCCGCGGTACCGCGCGACCAGAGTGGGGATTTCTGGACTGGTTCGGGTTTGGGATGGTTGGCGTCGGGAGAGGACGAGCGGAGAAGGTGCCGTGGAGCGAGCGGCGGCGGCGGCGGCGGTGGCGGCGGCAGCGACGGCGGTGGCGGCGGCGGCGGCGGCGGCAACGACGGCAGGAACGGACGAGTCAGCGCGAGCACCATCGTCCTGCTTCCCACTCCCGATTCTGAACCCTTTCGGTTCCTCGGGCTGATTCTGTAAACTGTAGTAGGAAGTAAGAGCGGATTAAGGACAATCGTAATACAATACATCGCGATGTTACCACTAGCGGTGAATGATGCAAATGAGGAAATGCTGCAAAAAGTCGAGTGGTTTCACGACCAAACCGATTGCGATGCGTTGTCGCGCCAAATTGGAGTAGCGCGATCGGCAGAATTTTAGACATCAGAGACACAAAAATCGAGAACTTGACTCGAAGCTAGAGGTATCGTTCGAGTTTCATTCGACAGTATATTCGTGATAACGGCAGTCGTGAAAGTCCACGATTCGGAGGAAAATCGTTCAGCCGCGCGTACACGCTCGCAATTCAACCTTGGCTCCTTGTCATCACAAATATGAGCCGAGATCGAGTTCACCGCGAGTCGCTCGAGTCGCGATTCTCAAGTATTAAATTCCCCATCGTTCGTATATCTCCTGGAAATCGCTCGCGCTTCATCGACTAAATCATCATCCACAAAATCGGTATAAAGGAGTTAAAAGGCGATCGAGTCCGTGACTTCGGCCCTGACGAGCCGACTCGGTGGTGGTGAGCCATGCTGGTGGTGGCGGCGGCGGCGGCGGCGGCGGCGGCGGCGGCGGCGACGACGGCGGTGGTGGTGGTGGTGGTGGAGAACGAGCGTCGGCGAGAAGCGACGGCAGGCAGGAAGGGTAGGGTCGAGAGGAGCCGAAGCGAGGAAGTTATGTTCGTTGAACCGATGGAAGGGGTTTGATATCACGTCGGCGGGGGCCAACGGGCACGTGGAGGGGCTGCCTTTCGGCGTAGGGGAATGACTGGGGTGGGGAACACCTCCGATCGCCTTTCCTCCCCCTCTCTGGCGTCGCACGTCCCTCCCGCCGTTCTCCACCGCGACCCTCACCCCCTACCCACCACGCGGTCCTCTCTCACTCCCGGCCAGCGCGACGTACCCCTCAATGCGCGCTGCGCCGTGATGCATCGCGCTGGCGGCGGCATCGCCTCTGCCGAGTCACAAGGTATGCTCGTGCCGCGAATACGAACTGCCTCTCCCAAATCAATATCACTCGTCGAAAAAAAAAGAAGGAAAGGAGGAAAAAAAGAGGACGACTCGGCACCTATAATTGCCGAACTTCCGCGATAACCGTCTCCGGCTCTCTCTATCTGTCTATCTCTCTTTCTCCTACTCGCTCCTTCACTCTTTCCCTCCCTCTCTTTCTCTCTCTCTCTCTTTCTCTCTCTCTCTCTGTCCCCGGTCGCCGCGCCGATCGCCGACGGAGCAGCACACCGCCGCCTTCTTCGTCTCTCCCTCCCCCGGCCCCGCGTACTCTGCCGCCGCCGTCTCCTCCACCACCTCCATCTCCCGCTCCCAACCCTTCTCGCGTGTGGGGTTAGGTTCACGCGCTAGCTCGATTAGGGTCTCCCTCCGCGCGCTATCACGCACGTTTCCCGCCACCCAATGTCCGCGCACGATGATTTTCACTGACTATGCCCGCGGCCTCGCAGCCACGTGCTCTCCCGCGACGCGGCGCGCGCCCGAGGCTCGCGCTCTCGCGCCCGCGAAAACAAAGCGGGGCCGGTGCGCAAGCGAGAGCGCGCGTCGTCCGTTCCTCAGCACGTCTGCGGATTAGTCGCGTACTAAGAGGCTGCCTCGCGACCGTGCGTATCTCGCTGCGCGCCAAGGGCCACGCTCACGTACGAGCGATTGCAGGTAACGCGCCACGTGAAGGCGCGCTGTTCGACGCCAATCGTGCGCCAAAGCATGCGAGCCAGGCCCGCGTATGGCGCGTCGAGCGCCGATAAGCTCCCGTGAGCCGGCCAAGTGGACGAAATCGCATGTCCTCGTCGCGAGGACGCGATTTACGGTGACGCCAATGGCAACGCTCGTCTCCCGCGAGAGGCTCTTGGCAGCGAGTTGCTATGTCAAACACGCGCATAAGTACAAGATAAATTAAAGAGAGAGAAATCCAATTGTCAAGAGAGTCCCGAGGGGAAACATCCATCCTGAAAATAAATGTTTCTATCTTGAAAATGTGTTTCCTCATCTTTCTTCCCAATGTTGCTTAGGCAGGACAGACTGCGACCAGGAATAATCCGAACGAGCCGTCATTGTCTTTGATTGGCGCGGATATTCACGGGGAAGTGGTACGAGCATGCTCTTACGTAAGCCTTATAAAAGAAATATTCGGGACGTGGACGTTATTCGAGCGACGTTCTCTCTCTCTCTCTCTCTACCTCTCCCCCCTCTCTCTCACGCAGCGGTGTACTCGTCTCTCGCTCTCTCGCGGGGCCGAGAAAAGCGCGGAGATTCATAAGCGAGCCGATCGTACTTTACAATGCATCGTTGTGCTGACCCGATTACAAGTTATCGCCTGGTGTAACGCGCCGAGATAACCACTCGAACCGAATGAACCGAGGAGCTGCGGGATCGCGAGGCACCCGATCGCGTCTCGCACTGCACCGTTTCACTGCATCATTCTTAGACTTAGACTTTATCCTAACTAAAGGTCTATCCAGACAAACTTACACAGTTGCATGCTGCACATATACAATGAATTGACCAATCGTGTATCTGATATAAAAGATATTCTTTTATTGCATGCATTATAATTGGTTGATTTCCTGATGCATGTGTGTGTGAAAGCTATAATTATGTAAATTTATCTGGATAGGCCTTTAACGGTTTGGGTTTACTCTGAAATATTTCGGCCTTCCGCCAAATATATCCGATACTTTTCCCCTCTCTTTCCTACGTTTGCCTCTCACTCAGATGGTAGAAATTAATTGGAATTTTAGACAAGGGATACCGTGGCTCTTACGCTGGCGTTACATCAATCACCATTAACGGTTCTAGACACGTGTCTAATGCGCGTAGGCGCGGTAGACAATCCCCGCTTGGACCACGGGAGGAGATCTCTGTCGCAATAATCGCACGAGACGCGTTCTCGGCGAACGGGAAGACGCGAGACTCGGTGCGAAACGGCGCGACTCACCTTGAGGAGCGGCAGCAGTCGAAAGTTATGATCTCGCTTGTGTGAGCGCGCAGATTTCCACGCGCGCTCTTACGATTACGGTCGCGATTTCGGCAAAAAAGAAGGGAAAGTCGCAGCGGCAATCGGAACGCTCGACCGCGGAGCGATTCATCGATCATCTTTAAAAGCGAATCCAAAAGGGGGGCGATCCTCGGGATAAAAGGAAAAAAAGAAGGAGAAGAAAAAATAGACAAGGAAAAGGCGAAGAGAGGTAAAGCGTCGCGCACCGCACACAGGCCTCGGCATCATCATCGCCAAGTTCTCGGCCACGAACGAAGAACGGATTTAACGATCGTTTCGCGCGGCACGGCGCGGCGCGGCGTGGAAAGAGAGCCGCGGGAGAGGAATGCCGCGCGGCGCGCTGGCGAGAGTCGCGTCCCTCGTTGTATAGTAGTAGTGTAGCCGTCCGAAAGCGACGAGAGCGAGAAGAGAAAAGTACGCGCGTTAGGGCTTGGTGCAGCGGCGGTGCGCGGCCGCCTATATTTATCCGGCGATGCAATATTTGGCCGCGTCTTCCAGAAGGAAAGAGAGAGAAAGAGTGAAGGATGGTGCGCGACAGAGACAGAGAAAGAGAGAGAAAGGGAGGGAGAAAGAAAATGAGAGAAGGAGAGTGAGCAGAGAAAGAGAGAGAGAGAAGGGAGAGAGAAAGAAAGAAAGAAAGAGACTCAGGACCGGCCACGTTCGTCCCAACTTGCAGCACACGGATGGGCGCATGAACGAACGCAGCAGCAGCAGCAGCGACCAGCAGCTTGCGCCTCTCTCTCTTTCTCTCTCTCTCTCTCTCTCTCTCTCTCTCTCTCTCTCTCTCTCTTCCTCCCTCTGTCTATCTCTCCCGCTTTCTCTCCCTCTTCTGCTGCCTCGCGTTCACTCGCTCTGTTCCTCTCTCTCTCTCTCTTTCGCCGTTTCCTTCTTTCTTCCTCTTTCTCTCTCTCCCGCCGTTCCTTCTTCTGCTTTATCACAATGAGCGGCTGCGTGTGCGTGTCGGTGTCGTTAGGCAGTAGCTGCCGGTGCAGGCGTGGTTGGTTCCTTGCCCTCTGTCGCGTATTTATATCTAGCGAGTAGAGCGAATGCATTGCGGCTCGCTTCTTGTTTGCCGGGACCGCTCCTCTCTTTCTCCCCCTCCCTCTCTCACTCTGTCCCTCTTTCGTTCTCTTTCTCTCGTATTCTCTTACTCTCATCCTCCTCTGCCTTCGCTCTCGCTCTTTCGCGCGCGCTCTCTTTCCTCCCCCCTTGCCC